GAGGATGTGGGGAAAAAGGTACACTCATACATTGCTGGTAGGACTGCAAATTGGTGCAGCCAATTTGGAAAGCAGTATGGAGATTCCTTGGAAAGCTAGGAATGAAACCAGCATTTGATCCAGCTATTCCAATTTCCAGATATTCCCAAAAGACCTAAAAAGGGCATACTACAGGGACACAGCCACATCAATGTATACAGCAGCACAATTCACAATAGCTAGATTGTGGAACCAAGCTAGATGCCCTTCAATAGATACATGGATTTAAAAATGTGGCATTTATACACATGGAATATTACACAGCACTAAAAACTAACAATATCATGCCATTTGCAGGGAAATGGATGGAATTAGAGCAGATTATGCTAAGTGAAGTTATCCAAACACTAAAAAACAAATACCGAATGTCCTCTCTGATATAAGGGGGGGGGTGACTGAAAATAGGGTAGAGAGAAAGAGCATGAGAAGTATATTACCATTAAATAGGGAAGAGAGGTGGGAGGGAATGGGAGGGAGAAGAGGAGTTCCACGGAAGATGAAAGGAGACCTTCATCGTTATACAAAATACATGCATGATGATGTGAGGGAGCAAAAAGAGAGAGAAATGTGACACATTAGATTGGGTAGAGAGAGGTGATGGGAGGGAAGGGGAGGGGAAGGAGGGATAGGAAGGGCAGCAGAATAAAATAGACACTAGTATTGCTGTACGAATATACATGGCCATATAACCGATGTGATTCTGCAACCTGTACACTTGGAAAAATGAGAAATTAAGCCCCATTAGATTCAAAAATATGATATGTCAAAATCATTGTATTGTCATGAGCAACCAATAAAAAAAGAGAGAATAAAATCATGGCATTTGCAGGTAAATGGATGGAGTTGGACAATGTAATGCTAAGTGAAGTTAGCCAATCCCAAAACATCAAATGCCAAATATTTCTCTGATATAACGAGGCTGATTAATAGTGGGGTTGGGAGGGAGCACTGGAGGATTAGACAAACTCTAGACAAAGAGGTGAAAGGCAAAGGGACGGGGCATGGAGGTAGAAAAGATGGTGGGATGAGATGGATATCATTACCTAAGTACATGTATGAAGACACAAATGGTGTGAATATATTTTGTATACAACCAGAGATAAGAAAAATTTGCTCTGTATGTGTCACATAAATTGTAATGCATTCTGCTGTTGTATAAACCAAATTAGAATTAAAAAAGAATTTAAAAACATACCATGGTATTGGCACCAAAACAGACATGAAGATCAATAGCAAGGACAGAAGAAAAAGAGATAAATCCACCTAAACCCAGTTATCTCATCCTAATAGACAAAGGCACCATAAACATACATTGAAAAAAGATAGCCTCTTCAACAAATGGTACTGAGAAAACTGGATATCCATATGTAACAAAATGAAATTAGACCCCTATCTCTTATTCTGCACAAAACTCCAAGTAGATCAAAAAGATAGGCACTAGAACAGAGACCCTGTGCCTAATACAAGAAAAAGCAGGCCCAATTCCTTACCTGTTGGCTTAGGATATGACTTCCTTAACAACACTCCTAGAGCACAAGGAGTAAAATCAAGAATCAATATATGGGATGGATTCAAACTCAAAAGCTTCTTCTCAGCAAAAGAAACAATCAATAGTGTGAAGAGAAAGCCTACAGAATAGGATAAAATCTTTAAAACCTGCACTAGGATGGAGCATTAATCTCCAGGATATATAAAGAATACAAAAAAAAACAAAATAAAAACAAATAACCCAGTCAACAAATGAGCAAAGAAACTGAACAGACACTGCAAACAAGAAGAAGAACAAATGGTCAACAAATATATGAAAAAATGTTCATCTTCACTAACAATTAGAGAAATGCAAATCAAAACTACACTAAGATTTCATCTGACTCCAGGAAGAATAGCAATTATCAAAAACACAACTAACAACAAATGTTAGCAAGGATTTAAGGGGAAAGATACACTCATATATTTCTAGTGGAACTGTAAATTGGTGCAACCATTCTGAAAAGCAGTATAGAGATTACTCAGAAAACTTGAAATGGAAACATCATTTAACCCAGGTATCTCACTACTCACTTAATAACCAATGGACTTAATATCAACATACTATACTGATGTGGTCACATCAATGTTCACAGAAGCTCAATTCACAAAATCTAAGCTATGAAAACAATCTGGGTGCCCTTCAATAGATGAATGGATAAAGAAAATGTGGTACATATTCACAATAGAATATCAGTCATAAAGAAGAAAGAAAATATGCCATTTGCCAATAAATGGATAAAACAGGAGGCCATCATGATAACTGAATGAGCGAATCCCAACAAACAAAAGGCCAAATGATCACTCTGATATGTGGATGCCGAAGCACAATAGGCAGAGGGGAGGCAGAAGTGGAGGTTCACTCTTTTGGTCAGGGGGAAATGGGATTATGGTGGAGAGATGGGAATGGGAAATGGGAAAGACAGTAGAATGAATCAGACATAACTCTCTTGTGTTCATATAGGAATACATGACTTGTGTAACTCCATATCATGTACAACCACAAAAATGGGAAGGTATAATCCATATATTTATGATATGTCAAAATAAACATTCTACTGTGATGTTTCACTAAAAAGAACAATTTTTTTAAAAGAACAGAGATGTTCCAAATAAATAATATTTCTGAGTTCATGATTCTTCCTTTTTTTCCAAGCAGGGGGAATCATCAGGGTCATTTATGCAGCAAATGGTAGTGGGATTTCAGAATGGTAGATCTCTGAACAGTGCACAAAGGCTACTAATTTGGCTCTCTGGCATTGGATTCCAATTTACATGGTATCATTGATTTATTAAACAGAATAGTGCTGGGAGAAAAGACCTTGTTCCATTTCCACATGGTTTAAACAAAGCAGACTGCCAAACTAATCCAAAGGCGATGACTTTGGATTAGTGGTTTAGTTTCTCTGATCAACTTTACAAACACCCAAAGTGGTTGGCAGATAACTCTTTCTTACATGACAGCAACTGTGTGTCTCCCATGCCAGCAGCTTTACTTACAGCATTGTTTAATGTCCCCTCTATAGGCAAGGTCTGTCATGGGTGTTTACTCTGGGTGGGGTTGAGATTGATGCAAGCAATGAAATATGTTAGAGTTGATACCATCTGACTTAAAATTTGGGTGAAAAAGAACACAACTTCTGCCTCTTTGCAATTAGGAGAGAATGGTCTCTCTGGAGAAGCCAATCATCATGTTGCAAGGAACAAACCCCTGCAGGGAGACCACATGACAGAACCTCCTGGAGAGAAAAGGAGGTTCCCAGGTGACAGCCAGGATAAGCACTGACCTGTGAGGCAGGGAGCCTTAAGATAATTCCCCTCTCTGCATCTCAAGACCACCCTGCTGACACACAGAGGAGCAGAGACACGCTGTCCTCAGCAACCATGACCAAACTGAGCTTCCTGAGCAAAGCATATGTCATTGTTGTTTTGAACACTAAGTACATGGGTCACTGAGGCACACTGACTTCAGCATTGCCCCCACCCCATTCTGCCCATCCCTGTAACCCCAGCCCCACCATCTTGTCTATTCACTAATATTTTCTTGTCCTCTGCCACAGCCAAAGAATCTCATCTCCAATGCCCTGAGTCTTACAAAGAAAATGGTTTCACCAAATGATCATCTTTCCATGATCATTATTCAAAGAGAACCAAGGAAATGAGCCTATTTCTGAGACCACAGTATTCACTATGGCCAATGTTTAGCACCTATAGCACCCCATCTTGTGACCATAGGTTCCTGTTTTCTGCTTCTGTGGTCAGCACTGAATCAAGAGTGGTGGGAGCTAAGCCATGGCTAAAGTCTAACTCAACCATCAGATCTTGATCAGACAGTGAGGCAAGGGTGAGATCATCTCAGAGGAAAAAGCCCCCACACACCAGAAGAGAACACTGGGAGTTTAAAAGACCAGGATGACACAACAACATCTTTGACCAGAGAGGCCTTCCTGGGAAGATGAAGCCACTCCTGCTCCTGTTGGTCTTTCTTCTGTGCCCAAGGACAGAGGCAGGTGAGTGACTATCCCCAACAACTGAAAACCAACCCCAAGCTCAGCCCTGCTCAGATGCTGCACCCCACCATTCCGGCTCAGGTGCACCTCCAGCAACATTAATCTTAGCAAGGTAAACCTCACCCAAAGACTGGCGGGCCTCATGGGGATGGGAGCACAAAGGAGGAGCAGGGCAGAAGGCTAGTTTTCATGAGAGTCAGTGGCCACCTTCCCCTTTCCCAGCTATAACCTTTACATCTGGAAAGCAGGCCCTTTCACAAAGACATATGAAAAATAAATAACCAATTCCCCAAGAAAAGGCAGCTGACAGAAAGGGGCTGGCTCTGTAATCAAGGTAAAGCCCACTATGTTTTTAAATTAATATCTTAATATCTACCTTCAATATGCACCTGCTTCTCCAGATTTGTCATTCTCACACTGCCCAGGAATGAAGCCAAAGATCCATTTGATCTCAAAACTGTGGGCAATCTCATCCCTTAACAGATACATGTGCCTTGATTCAGCCCCATGTTCTCTCAGGTCATTTTCAGTTACAGATGGGTGCAATGGCTTTGTCAGACCCCATCTTCCCTGGTGCCTGCAATCTCACCAGCACTGCCCCTTCAACCTCAGCCACAGGATAATCAGGAGCCATTCCCTCACACATCCAAGACCTTTACTGGGCCCTTATTTGGTGTCTGCCTCCAGCAGACAAACATCAAACATGACTCAGCATCCTGATTTTATGTGCAGAACCCAGTAGGAGCTCAGTGGGAACTAAGGGGGAAACAAGAGGGGAAAGAAGATTCTGGGACACTTCACAGAAAGGACTGACCAGGATCTGTAGGTATGTTGCTACTGGTTCCAAACTCAAATCCTGTCAGTCAACATTGACATCTGAAGCAGGAATTACAGAGCAAGGACTGCCTTGCTCTTGGTCAGAGGGAGTATCTGAGTCTTGTGGGTCTCTCTTCAATCCAGGAATGCTGCCTGGCAAACACTCAGGGCCCATGTTTGCTGCTGCTGACTACTTAGACCTTTCCCCTAGGGACATGTATAAGTATTGAGCCAGTCAAGGCTACATGGCAAGTGAGGAGACCAGGGCAGGGCAAGAACAAAGGAGCATGGAGGGTTTCCAGATGAGGTCAACTTCCTATTTGATGAAAACCTGAGAGGACACAATCCAGGGACCCAATCAGACAGAAATTTTTTTGTTTGTACTCCTAAGTGGAAACACAACAGAATAATTAAAAGAGAAGTATTCACAGCACCAATCAATAATAGTGAGGAGAGGGTGGAGAGGGGAGATGAATAAGGAAAGGAAAAAATTCCTTGGACCATAAAAGAAGACAAACTCTCCCACCAGATTCAGAATGTTGTAGAACCTTCTCTTTAGACCTCTCTCTCTGTCCCTCTTGCAATAAACCTGCTTCTTGCTTGCTCTCTCTGCATCCTGTTTGTCAATTCTTTGCTGAACAAGGACAATGAACCCAGCACACCTAAGTGGTAACACCATCACACTTAATCCTTCCCTCCCTGGAGTTGATCCCAGTCTCCTCTTCTTCAACCTTTGGCTCCATGAGCACCAAGGGCAGGACAGAACTTTTCTTTCAGGGAACATCATCGGGGGCCAGGAAGCTGTGCCTCATTCCCATCCCTACATGGCATTTCTTCGGATCAAGACTCAAACTACAACAGAACGATGTGGGGGTTTCCTTGTGCGTGAGGACTTTGTCCTGACAGCAGCCCACTGCTGGGGAAGGTGAGTTCACCCTTCTAGAGAAAACCTCACAGGGAATCTTCTCCTTTGGGCCTGAAGACAAGAGCTCCATGGAGGGCAGGGAAGCTCTGGGGAGAGAGGAGCAGTCAGTGCAGGTGGCTTCTTTTACAAAAGGCGAACGTGGATCAAGGCTTAATGGGAAGGAGGTGGGTTTTGCCCCAGATACCAGAGTGCAAATATGTGAAATTAAGAGTCTCACCTGGAGCCAGTCTCTGTGCACGACTGTACATGTTCTGTACATGACTGAGTACACTGCGATACTCTAGGACCTGCACCAACCCTGGCTGTCAGGAAGAAAAGGGAAGAGATGCTCAGCCCCAAGTCCTCTTCCCATGTAGCTTCTCCCAACTCCAACCTTCCCTGCCCTGGGCCACCCATTTTCCTTCAGGGATACCAACTTGTATCCCCTGTGACTCTACCTCACTGTCTGTTCTAGGAACAGAACCATCACTGTCATCCTGGGGGCCCATGACATCGATGAGCAAGAGGCGACCCAGCAGGTCATCCCTATAAGAAGAGCCATCCCCCATCCAAATTTTAAAAAAAAGCCATTCAATGACATCATGTTACTTCAGGTGAGGCATGCCATTCCACTGGGTCTTACACAGGTTAATCCTAGAGGGTTAAATCCTCATGGCCTTGTTTCCATTCCTCCTTGTTAAATTCACCACTTCACTTGTCCCAGTGCCATGAAGAAAGCA